TCACTTTATTCATAATCGAGTTATATATTTATTTTGCTACTACAGTTGCATAAATGCTGTAACTGTGATTAAATTATACCAACTCTTAAGAATTCCACATTTAAGTAACATTAAAACAAAACAAGTGAACGCTAGGTATGGTAGCTACTCGTAACTTCTGCATATGCCCTATCGCTTTCTTTGGGTAATTTCCCTCTCCCCAGAGACACATTGTACGATGTATGGGCTACATGTCCCAGCAAAGTCAGATAAACTTACTCCTTTGGACACAATGATTGGTTCACAGCAGACACGTGACTAAAGCAAGGCCCAAGTAATTTTGAGAGGACTGATGTGGATAAGAACAGTATATTTACAAAATCAAAAGTGTAAGACTTACATAAACTTGCTAGAAATAACATTCCCAGCATGTAGGGAGGGAGGGAAGGAGGCGTGGAGGGAGGGAGGGAGAGTACGTGGGTGGGTAGATACATATATGTATGTATGAATGGATGGATGGATGGATGGATGGATCATTGGGTAAATGGAGCGAAGAATGGGTACATGGAAAGAAGGGCATAGATACATGGGTATAATGGGTATACAGACAACTTCATAACTATACGAATCCTTGGTACTTCAATTACGTAAGTTAGTCGTGAGATAGTTCAAATTGGATTTTTGTCACTCATGGCCAAAAGCTTTCTACTTATTATACTGTAGATCAACAAGAATCCTGTAATATAACAGGGGTATATTAAGTTGAGAAATACTGAACTACATGATCCTCTCTAAGTTCAATGATTTTGTGTTAATATGTGTTTTGATATTTGTAAATTCAAAAGATCGGGAATTTTTCACTTAACCCTTAACATAGGTATTCAGCAGAGAGTAGAAAGGATGATTCTTGTATTTTAGGAATTCATTAAGGTTCTAACAATAGGGATCTTTTCTCTACTGAGTTTAGGAGTAATATATTTATTCAGAGATTATCAAGTTAAAAATAATTTAAAATTCAGAACCAAGGGGAAAGTATGTCATGTGAGACTTTAAAAATTAAGGTTACCACATGCTAAACACCAGAGAAATGTACATACATACATATACATACATACATTCACATATATGTTTATATCTTAAGGGGCTTTTCTAAAACTTTCTAGAATTCTTAGCAAAATGATCCTTAAGAGCTTACTTAAAGTTTGTTTTTTCTGCCTTAAACATTTGGTTGGTAGCAAATATAACTTCCTACCAGTTAGAGAAAATAAATAAAGCACTTATACTTGAAATATATATAATTCAAAATAAAATGAGAATACCAAAGTCAACACATAATATTAAAGAGCTAAATATCAAAAGAATGACTCATATGGAAAGACTTTCTTCAATTTTTATTCCTAGTATGTGGCTCATGGGCACTTTTTACTGAGAACCTGATGTAACAAGACATTTCCAAGGCCACATCAATCAGCTGTGACACCCATCCACTGATTCTGCATCTGTCCAGCTAAATGGATTTCACAGGAAGTCCTGCAAAGTCAGTAGCTGGTCTGCATCCTAAATTCAGAAATTAATCACTTTTTAACCCTCTATTATCAATCAACTCAGGGACTTATTTAATTGACCAGCAGTCCATACTGAAGGTTTTCATGCTGGGAAGAGGTTCTAATCCTATAATCAGCTCCTAGCACAAAAAATACATCTATCTGACACAACAGCTATCGGGTTTAATAAGATACCAGGTTAGAAAACATTTGGGGGATAAAAAATACTAAGCAATTCTATTTAGTCTTTTCAATTAGCAAAGAAATCTTGCCTGTGTTGTTATAAAATACACTACAAAGTTCAGCAAAGTTCTAAGTTAACTGTGTTTCTTGAAGGAGGAGAACATCTTCATTAGATGAACTTTTTGTACTAAAGCAAGACTGAAGGCTTACCTATGAAATATGAGGCATTTCAAATATTTTAAAATAACTGATATAAGAATCCGGTCAATCACCACTTGAGATGTAATAAGTTAAAAAGGAAAATATATAGTATAACATAATCAAAATGCTATAGACCACTGTGAGGTGCTGGAAACATGATCTTATGAAAATACTGACAACTCCTATAGCTATTTAGATCACAAACTAGGGGAAAAAAAAGCTGTAAGCCTATCTAAATTTGTTATACTAAGTAAATACATGTATTTCACAATATTGATCCACTGATCACTAATTGCTACTGCATTAATTCTACATTTTTAAGAATAATGATCTTGTATGTAGACTTTAGAACACATCTCACCTAGAAACCTCAACAGCGCAAGGGCAATGAGAAGCCTCATTTCAGAGACTTAAGATGCACCCAGGAGAGGAGACTATAATTTACATTAAGTATTTTCAGAGTATGAGCAGGAAGCTTACAGCTGGCTCTAGGGACCCTGGTTATAAACAAATCCAGGGGAAAAAAGCCATCACTATACCAAAATTACCCTAACAAAATATTATAAGCAAATCCAAATCATCAGCGCCCAAAGTGTTTTATGATCTTCAACACTAGTTAGTTACAGCTTAAAAAAAAAAAAAAATCAGAAACCACGTGTCCGAAAATTGTGAAAATGTTATGTTCCCATATAATATAATCATGTTTAAGAGTGGATAGCAATGTTCATTTTATATTCATCATTTGATTTTAATATTAGTATCTTGAAAATAAAAAAGTGATAGCTTTTAGAGATGAAAAAATCTGAAAGGAAAGAGCCCCCCACACAGGACCCGAACATCAACTACTCCAGCAAAGCTCTACAGTGTCAAATAAAAGTTGATCAGAGAAATGTACACGAGAGTATAAAACTTCTGTTTCTGGACTTTGATCCAAGCAGTCATAAAAACTTGTTCTCTCTTGATATCTCCTATTTCCAGTATATGCCAAATATTCACAAGCTTTTGCCTCTTAAAAAACAAAGCAATATAAAGTCTATCAGTTGCCTGCAATACTAAGTAATCTAAAATATCACCCACAGAACGATGCTAATTTACCGTCAAGAATAACAACAGCTGTTAAAGTGACATTAGCACCAGGGAGGCTTCATTTGCACGTGTGTGAGAGCCCTTCATTAACCAGTGAGAATTTCAAAGTTACCTATTAATAGCAGGGCAGGGTGGCGGCTGCCTTGGGGATTCCTTCAGGTTGTGGGTAGGGCAATAGCCCACGTTCAACTGACACTCTCAAATTCACAGAAACAGGTCGTGGTGACTAAAACCCATCCATTTTCCGGTTCCAAGCTACAGCCATTGACAAAGTGCTGAGCTCCCTCTTTGAAAACAGTTGCAGGAAACAAGGCAATCAGGCAGCAAACTGCTTTCAAGGTCACCCCAACTCACAGGTGTCTCTAAGTAAGATTTTTATTGCCAGAACTCGCTTGTTGTTCAATGCTTACTAGTGAGTACAGATCCTTCAGTCTAGGGAGAGAACAGAGAACTATGCATGAATGTCAAACAACAACAACTAAATCAAAGAATGCAGAAGCAATTCCATCAGAAACCTGTTTACTGCACAGATGGCCAATCCTAGAGAATCCAAATTTGTTCTAAATCTTAAAGCATGACAAACGCCTCTATACAACTATTCTGTCTCGTGGGTTTTCTGAATCACATACAGTGTTCACTTTACACTCTGAAGTGTAAAATAATGGGAAAACACAAAGGACTATGAGTTTCTACTTAAAAAAAATGTTTTCTAGTTGTAAAATGAAAAGGCTTGAAATAAATTTTACCACAACCTTGGGAATCACAGAGGGTTGAACAGTTGGCCATTTTTATCATCAAATAATGTTCAGACTCTCATTCTTATTTTAAGTTTCCAAATAATGCCCCCAAATATAAACTCAAAGTGTAACATTGCTTCCTGAAGGACTTCTGGTCACACACAAGTCTTAGTATATAGTCTACAATGACAACTTTCAGCATTTCCTAACTCCTCAAATGAAGACCTGCACTACTCCAAGCTATGTTCTACTTTCATTTTTCAGTTCATTTTCAGCAAAAATTCTCCACACACACACACACCATAGAAAGTGTTCCTTCTGTCAACATCAACTGAATATAAAAATTTCTAATTGAAATGTCTTCCTATCACATCTAAATGACTTCAACGCTATATTATACAGAGAAATTTTTAAAAATTAGGATGCTGATTGATCCTGTGCTACTTGGGCAAAAAGTAATATGCAAAGAAATAACTTAATACTTCCAGTGTATTTGCTCATAAAATGTAACTACACTTTCAATGCTTTGAAAGGCAGACTAGTTAAAAAAAAACTAACACCAAACAAACCCAAGTTTATATCTTCAAAGGGAGAGGGGAGAAAAAAGGGTATTTACGCTGAATTAAGAAAAGAAACTACTTTTTTTTTTCTTTCTGCCGCAAATGTGCTTACAGAACAACTCCAAAGACCACCTCACACACGCGCTCTTAAAAAATTATTCCAGGGGGGCCAAAGAGTGGAAGGAGACCAAAACAGATGGCTCCGCACTTACCACCTCTAAAACCGATAGTCGATAATCGGTAGCACTGGGCAATCGATAATCACTGACTTTGATGCCTTAGTGTCTATCCCACCCCAAACTCGCAGAAAAGCGCCTTTGAAAAGAAGCCACTTTACTTTCAAAAGGTCTCTGCTCTGATGGCTCCAGGTTTAGAATTTCGAAGATGGCAAAAGCGGAGGACGAGAATTTTAAAAGAAGGGCGAAGTAATTACGCAGAAGAGATCAGCTTTATCCCAACTGCTCGCGTCGGTCAAAACCCAAACAAAAAGCCGCCAAACATGAACAAAATCGACACCAACTCCTTAGGAGAAACGGGGTTTCGAAAAACCCCAAAGCAACACATCCTCAGGCAAGTAAAGGAAGATGAAAACGCCACACAGCTCTCGGCACTGCGCTCGCGCCGCCGCCGTGCCCCTAGGCTCCTCCACCCGCACCCCGTCCCGCCGCGCCCCCGAGGACGGGGCACGGGGTAGATGCTGAAGGAAGTACCTTGTTTTGTCTCCAAAGGGCAACATAGCAAAAGTGGGGCTTTCCAGGTGCTGGTAACGCGGCCGCGGACGACCTTGGGCTCCCGGAGGCGCAGGGGGCGACGACGCGCCCAGGTGAGGCGGG